CGAACAGCTGCTGAATAGTCTTCACAAAGGATCAAATAGCATCTAGCGATCTACCTGCGCGTCAGGGTATTTAAACACGCATGCAGCGCGAGTGGTTTGCAGTTCAGTCAACTATTTAGTTTCTGTCAAGCAGACCACGGGTTTTATTGTACGCATCGTTAAAATAAATAAAAAGATATATATACATATATAGTGAAAAATAGAAAAGTGTTTAAAATTGAAATCCACACAGGATCTCTAACATCTTGATCCACTTACGTGGCAAAGTATTTATATTTCACACTATCGATCTTCAGAGACAGTTTCAATTCATCCAACAACGTGTAAAGACACGCATAAACAATAACAGAAAATTAGTGAAAAAAGTGTTTAAGAAGAACAGTCACACTAGAACGCCTTTGTGCTATCAGTTTGTCGAACTATTTATGCGCAGACGCAAAAGATCTTCAGTGACAATTTATTCAACCAGCAAAGTATCCAGACACGCATAGACAATATTGAAAAGTTAGTGAAAAATTCGTAAAAGAAAAAGTGTTCAAAAAGAATAGCCATACCGTATCGCTTAATCGTTCTACCTGCCACACGAATATTTAAACGCAGACGCAAACCATCTTCAGTGACAATTTCGAATCAACCGCCGAAGGCACACATCAAAAATATCGAAACTAGTGAAAATTATTGGTAAAAAAGTTTTGAAATAGCAGCTACTACCCGTTCCACCTGCTCTTCGAAGCAATCTACAGTGACAGACCCAAGCGATCTTTAGCAACAGCAACAGTGCTAGCAATTTGTTTGCAGATTCTCTAACTCATTTTGATACAACAAGTAAACGGAAAACCATGAGCAGCAAGTGCCGCATCCAAAATTGTCAGTGGACTGGCCACCAAAATGAATTATTTTTGCACTGTGAGGATAAGCATAGGGCACGCATAATTGAACTCAGAGGAGAACTACGAAATTTCTGGTTATGTAATACCGCCGATTTATTACGTGACAATTCATTTCTGCTCTGCGGTCCTGAAGGTATTTACTGGTTCACACCGAATCCATGTAAAACTGATAATGTCTTAAATTGGGGTGTATTTCATGTTGGCAATTCAGTTCCAATGGAATATAAACTCAAGTTTGGTGCTTTACGTGAGGGATATTGTGAATATATCGGCCCGTCAATGTCTCGCGCCGAAACCGATGAGGTATATGATTTATTTTTTGCCTTCGACTACCTGAATTATTTGAAAACGAACGTTAGAGCCGAGCAATTCCTCGTTTATCTCGGCGATTATGATGATAGCGACGATGTTTATGAGCCCACCAGCGAGGATCTCATATTCAATGAAGAAGATGAAAAAATCAATAAAATATGTGTGGAAAATTTTACCTGCCCCGTATGTCTTGAGTTCATTAAATGCCACATAAGATTCTGTGAGAATAAGCATTTTGTGTGCTTCCGTTGTTTTCGTCGATTAGGTGCTGCCAACAGGTTACGTTGCCCCGTTTGTCGTGTGGGTTATACGTATGATTGCAGCAGTCAGCGTCTGGAACGTTTCCTACGCATGGTCAAATTTCCAGCGTCCAACGATACATTTGACCAAGTTGAGGTGCCGCAGAGGCAAAGGAAACCGGAGGATGTAGAGACGTCAGAGGAAGAGCAACAGCAACAGCAACAGCAACAGCAACAGCAACAGCAGCAGGCTATCGAAACTTAGTTGGTATGGTGTGAAAGTTTTGTAGGAGATTGTTGTAGTACAATAAAAGTAAAGAGTAATAGTTTGTGTATACAATACATGTGTGGGTTTTTAGAGCATAAGTATGTAATGCACATCCCAAATGTTTATAAATTTCTGCAAAACATTTAATTATTTTAGATATTTGGATATATTAATTACTAAGATTATATATATGTAATTAATTAAAATTAAATATATATAACTACATATTAGGCGTAGTAAAAAGAAATCCATTATTTTTCAAATAGAGGGTGTTATTTATCTGTATCTTGCGTTGTATAAATCCGATCAGGTTCCGCTAGATGGTGTTAGAAAGATGACATTTCGTACTAAAAAAGTTTCTCTGACTGTTTTCTGATTGGTTCATTCGGTTTTGTTTGAACGCTTGTCAAAGAAGTTTTTCTTCGATAAGAGCGAAAACGCAAGCCAGGCGGCTGAGAAAGTCCGTTTATGTCCTGATACTCTTCCAATCAGTTATACACAATTTCGAGTGCATTCCGGTAGCTTTGTTGCAAAAAATGCTTCACGGTGTGAAAGGCCAAAAGTCGAAAATGACGCTAAAAAGCGCTAAAGATTGCACAAAAAACAGTTTGGCACCATTTGAATAAAAAAATAAACCATTCAATGTTATGCAAAAATAATGGATTTACTTTTACTACATAATATATATGTATGTATATATCTACATATAAGTATATATTACTATAGAGTATATAGGGTCCGCCACGCAACTTTTTTTTTTTAAATGCAATAAAACAAATGCCCATTCAGCAAAGGCAAACCGCATCGGATGGTCTCGTGGCTTCAATTCTTGAACTAATTGAACTTTGTACGGTGTCATACCAAGGTCTTTTTTCAAAATTCGCCTAAGGGACGTCTCGGAAATGTCCAATTGTTGAGAGCGACGCTTCACTGATGTTCCGGGCGCCTCACGCACACTCTAGGCCACAGTAGCGATATTACCGGCAGTACGCACTTTTTTTGGTTTCTCACGCGTTGGTTTATCAATAATTGTGCCGGTTTCTCTCGATTTTTTCAAAAGAAAGCGCACATACGGAGTGGACGGTGCTTTGTTACGGCTCATTTCCGTGCGTAATTTTCACACTGCACTACTTTAACGCGTTCCTCAATCGTATACACAACCATTTTCGTTCAGCGGAAGGATAAAACTAACTTTCTGTCAAATCAGATGTAACATCAGTGTTACCACACTCGAAATAACTATAGTTCAAGAAAAAAAATGTTAGATGGCGGACCCTGTATAAGTATATGTAGGTGTGTTCATAAAATTATAAAAATAAATATATTTAAAATTGTTGCATATATTTAGTTATAAACTCAATAATTTTTCATAATAATTATTATTTTTATACATTAAATAAAACAAAAATATCCTAAGTTTAGATATAAGTTTCTTTAATGACACTTCTATGCATATGTACATGTATGTAATTATGATTTTCCAATCTTTCATGTGCATGCATATATGTATGTGTGTGCATTTATTCAACTCATTACTTCAATATTATATTTCTGTAGTAAAGGAATAACAATAAATGAAAGCTACATCCAAAATCTGTTTTTTTTTTTGTTTTATACCAGATTAAATTATGCCAAATTATGTGTTACCCTTTATATGGGGTAATCCATTTCCAGGTTTCAAAAGTACAGGGGTGTACAGATTTTGTTGTCAAACCAAACATGTTTTGTTTTAGTTAAAAATTATGCATTTCCAAGAATAATAAAACTTAACAAACGCATAATGCCTTAGAATTGTTAAAACCTACGGCAGGAATGGTGATTCAATCATGGCCGCGTTTCGTGCTTTGGGAAGAGATTACAGTGCACATAATCATCCAACTACTTAACAAATTGCTGAAAATCTTAAAAAATTTGAAGATTCTAAAACAGTTACAGATTTTTTAATGCCTGTGCATCATCGTTTTACTCATTCCTGCTCAAATATCGCCATTGTAACCGAAAATGTGGACGAAGACCTGAGTGTGTATATTTCTCGATGTTCCCACGGCATATTATGGCATATTTTGCACTTGAACTTACAACTGCATGCGTATAAAACCCAGCTCACAAAACAACAGGGGTCAGCTGACTATTCAGAACGCCGTACATATGAACATCGATAAGGTGCTTGGACAAAAAATGTCAGACCGCGATTTTTCGAACACAATTTCTCACTCTGCGCATACGTAAAAAAGAAAAATTGTGTGAAAATCTTTAAATAATTAAAGAGAAAGAGCACGCGACTTGGGCGGAAATTTAGTTTCAACAAGATGGCGCCACACAAATCGAACAAATATGGCTTTACAGCGAGAGAAGTATTCCGGGCGCGTAATCTCACGTCTTGGTGATGTCAATTGGTCACCGGGATCGTGCGGTTTGACTCCGTAGAACTTTTTTTTCTTTGTAGAGCTATGCGAAAGACCGCTTCTTTGCGGATAAACCACCCAATAAGTGCCAAAAAATGGCCAAAAACTACCTCAAATGGATCGATGCTTTAGAAAAACTCGCGAGGCGGTCATTTGAAGGATGTAGTGTTTCACCAACAGATTGACAAAAATTAGTTGGATGAGAATATAAGCGCAGTTCGGGCGTGGGTATGTTCTATTCGCTGGTTAAAAGGTATTTTTCAACGTTCAATTTGTCTGTGAATAAGCAAAGATCCGAATGGGGCGTTTGGTCAACTTCGAGGCGCTCATGTTGACCTTTTCATGAAAGATTTTGAGCAACGAAGAAGCAATCCGCACATACAAATATGTAGTTTAAACAAAAATATAATATAAATATTAGGATATTTTTAATAAGGGTATTTTTATCGCTTCTTTGCAATATCATTTGGTATGAAAATTGGACAAAGTGGAGAAAGTCACAACAATGTGAAATTAAATTCACAGCTTAATTAAAATTTGTTGATTTTTTGAATTGAAATTTGGATGACTATCTTAGCTTTCATACCGCAATTTGCTTTAGTTTTGAAATTTGGGCAAATTTTCCTCAAAAAAGCATTAAATTCGATAAATATTCTGATCCATACATAAAATCATCGTAATCAAAAGATTTCACCATAAGCCCACATCAACCAATATGAGAAGAAGAATAAAATGAAATATGTACCGTAAATTTGTTATGGTCATGAGAGAAGTAAAGAATTTTGAGCATTGCCATTGAAGACAGCTTTAGCACTTTCTTGTTTTGAAGTCACTTTTGTATGAATGATTTCGTTAAATTTTATAACAACAAAGATTCATCACTCACCAGAAGTTGTCATCACGATTTCGTTTAGAATTTGTACGACGCCTCCTGTAACATTTACGGACCACAAATATTCGAATCACTTTCAATTATTTATTTTCATTAATCTTGCAATTAATTTACTTCACTACAGATTATTAGCTATTAGAACACAATTACACTATTCACAAGCAAACAATTTATATTTAATTAATCCAAATTCACTCAATACACTCACTGTTATTACTCTTGGCACTCTACACGGGTTTCTGTATGCGTCGAAGAGTATTTGAGCTTATCTTAAGTAATTTGCTCTCGCCAAAGTTATTAGCACCGTCATTAGTTAGATAAAGAAATTTGAAAATAAAAAATAAAAAAAAATATATTGAAATATACAACATTTGAAACGAAAATTTTGTATTCAAGTCTGACAATTTCAGCTTTGAAATTTGTCGTAAAATTTTGAGGGCGATTGATTTAAAATTCAATTAATTAATTTTATTTTCCATCTGGTGTAGAGTGGTTTTTCTTTTGCTTCGCCTTCTGTTGTAATGGAGGTGATGGTGGATTGAAATGTAATTGAAATGTAAGAGAAGAAAAATTGATTCGAAGAACCATTTTGGCTTAAGGGATAGGGATTTTTGGCTGAGCTTGCGTCTTGATGTCTTTTCCAACGAATGGAGAGACCCGTGATACAAAAATTTTGTATTCGAAACTTTTGACACTAAACGTGTTTGCTCAGAAATGTTTGATCTCGCCACTTAAAAAAATTTTAACTTGAATGTTTCTTAATTATTTTGGGGTTTTTTTCAAAGCAGATGCTATAATATTAAATACACTTATGGATCTATAAAATATTTGTTTCAAGTCGTTTTTCATTATCATAAATTGAATAGAGAGAGTTGAAATTTTTTACATTTTTTTTCGAAACTTAGACTTATAAGTTTTCTCGACTATATGGGAAATGTTCATGTTAGGCTACCTGCTCATAGAGCCAATCCATGGAACTGCGGGCCGGATAGTCATAACCGCTATATAAACTCTGTGATCCCTTATCGATTTCTTGGAAATTTCTTCGATTGCTTAGCATAGCCTGCATGTCTAGGCATCATTAATCTCCTGAACCTCGTACACTAAACTGCAAGAGCATCTAGAATGGTGGGAGGAACCTTCTTCGTAGGGCCAACACAGGTTTGCGTGATCGAGCAAGCTGTTTAACTAACTAGCTGACTAATATCAATATATTTGGCGGTTGGTTTGAATTCAAAAGTGTTTGGATATTTAATCGACTTCAAGCGTGATTATGAGATTTTTATAATGAATTTGCATTACTCTAAAAAATCAATATATATTAAAACAATATCCTGTTTGCTTACAAAATTTTCTTAAAACATCTCTAAAATGCAAATCCAGCCAGCTCCTTATCTTCTTGAATTCGATTTAAATTTTGGTGGGCGAATCTCTTCCCTCTCTCATACTTTCCCACAATTTACTAAAGTTGTAATACAAAAATCATGAAAGGCATACGCTCGATGAAGTCCACTATCAGAGTTCGAAAATACGTGTATTTTGAATATTTGAACTTTTAAAAAAATATGAAAATTTTCCTCATATTTTTTATTTAAAAATGGTAGATTTGCTAAGTGAAGATGGTAGCACGAGAAATCCGGCACACGTTTAATGTCAGATTGCTATGAAGCCGACTGCGAAGATAAAATGAAACTACCTTCGAATTATTGTATTATGGAGAACCTACAGTTTATACTAAACCGCCTCCGAACGTCTGATGGTTTTTTATGAGAAGTTTTTTATTTCATGTCAGAAATACACTCGGAGGAGTAGACATTCCTTGACGAAGAGCGGCCGTATTTATAAAATTTAACTTCATTTTTTATTTAAATTAATTTTCCATAACTTTTTGGATGTTAATACGATACCAAAATTTTAACTCGAGTCTTCCAAATGGCAGTACACAATGCTAACCACTCGGCTACTGCGCCCGCCGGAATGTGTATGTCTCAGTTGAGCTCTGTTCAATATATTATAGCTCAATCAATCACTTTAGATATGTACATACCTTCCAGCCGTACCACCCGTCTACCAGCCTTGTACAATGGAAAGCAATCAGCTGAGCCGCATTTATGAGAAAATGTCAGTAATAGCATCGCCAATATCTAGGAACATGGGTTGTAAAAGCTGAATCACTATATTTTTAGCAAATTCGATTGAAACTAGTCCCTCAGATATCGAGATATTTCAAGCAAATTCGATACACAAATGCACACTTCAAAGATATTTGTCCGAACCCAAAGCTTGAAATTTGGTTTTACCGAAATCGGATGACTATCAAATATAGCTTCCATGCCACAATTCTTTTTAGTTAAAAGACTTTGGTAAAAATTGCATCAAAATAGGCAGGGAATTCGGTATACATTCTTATCCACAAACAAATAAAATCATCGAAATCGAAAGACTTCATCATAAGCCCCCATCAACCAATATGAGAAATAAAATAAAATGAAACACCATAAATTTGATATGGTCATAAAAGAATGAAGAAATACATATATGTACATGCATACATATTTGATAAAGAATATCTAAATTTTGAAAAGGAAAATATTTATAGCTCCGGCATTGTGACGTTATTTTCGGTAACTCCTCGGTAAAGAGTTCGTCTCCTTCTTTACAGACCTATATATGGTAGGACTCTAGACCTTAAAACCTTAAAAGGTGTTGAAAAAGTCCGGTAAAGTTCTGTTGATAAATATCTCAAATATCCGATCTTGAGTTAAGCCGGGTTGCAAAGTGGAAAAGTCCGTTACACGAGGTGTGTTCAAAAAATGTCGCGAATTTTGTGTTTTTTCAAAATTTATTCGTGAATATCTATTTTGTTCCCTTTAAAGTAATCCCCATGAGATATTATACACTTGTGACAACGGTTTTTCCAATCTTCGAAGCACTTCAAGAAATCCTATGATTTTTATCTTGTTCAGCTTCTCCTTCGATGCCGTCTTTATCTCGTACCTTAAGGGTACAAGAAAAAGTCGCAAGGGGCCAGATCTGGGGAATACGGTAGCTGCGGTATCATTAGTGTGTTGTTTTTGGCCAAAAAGTCGCGCACAAGCAACGATGTGTGAGCAGGGGCGTTAACGTGGTGCAAAAGCCAATTTATGTTCTTCCACAAATCCGGGCATTTCTGGGGGATCGCTTCGCGCAAATTACGCATAACTTGCAGGTAATATTCCTTATTGGCCGTTCTACCCTGTGGCAAGAACTCATGATGCACCACGCCCCTGTAATTAATTTTTTCGTCTGTTGTTGAAGTGCTCGGGCGTCCGGCACGCTCTTCGTCGTTCACATCTTCTCGGCCTTCTGAGAACATTTTGTACCACCGATAAACGTTGCTTCGGTCCAAGGTAGTTTCTCCGTATGCCTCAGTCAACGTTCGGAATGCATCCGCGCACTTAATTTCGTTTTTCACACAAAATTTTATAAAGGTTCTTTGATCCAATTTTTTGAATAGGTAAAAATCGAAAACCATCCAAAACACGTGCAAGCAAAGCAACTGTCAACAAATAAGTGATCATTCAAAATAGCTGAGCTTGTCAGCATAAGTGACAGACATGAGTACCAACATAACACCACAAAAAAATCGAAATTCGATTATACGTAACCCGCGAAAATTCAAAATTCGCGATACTTTTTGAACACAGCTCGTATGAGAGAAAGGCACAGTTGTTGCTCGATTGCGAGCATATTCAATAGAATGGAATTATAAGTATGAAATTTTTTGAATTCCGTCCAGACGACGTGTTGTCAAATGCACCTCAGAAGTGTTCCTTTAGTGCAATCCTCCCTAATAAATTATATTATATTATTTATTATGCACATTGGAACCACTCAAGTGAATTCGGGTCAAACTTCTTCTCCGATTTGTTGCGTGTATCTTGATGTTTTACAAAAACTGGAGGACCTACCGTTTATTCTATGGCGCCTCCGAACGCTTGTTTGATTTTTATGAGGAGCTTGTTATTCCATGTATTTCCAACTCAGAGGATTTAATATTTCCAGCCGAATTTTCATTAAATATTGTTGCATATTTCTCAGAAGGATATGGAAGAATTTTGAAAACAAAAACCCATATATTTAAAGCATTCGCACACGCAAAATATACTTTTTGGAATTTCTTTTCTTCCTTTGTCTTCAACAAAGTTCAATGAATTCTTTTCGCTGCTACGCACGTGTTTGCACATTTTATTTTCCCAACCTAAATTCGTTGAACTATCCGAACTACATACCTTTCCACATACAAATATTTAAGTCTGTCCTACAGTGAATAGTTAAAGTAGTATGCAAAAATTCTACAATAGTTCTATAGTAATATTTTAATGATGACAATGAGATTACTACGGTCACGGGTTAAAAAAAAAAAGAATTGTCTTATTAATTTCTACAACATCTCGAGAATATTATTCTAAATTTTCAAGTCAACTCGAATAAAATTTTCGAAGTAACAGCCTTAGTAAGGTTCAGGCATTAAACTTTAAAACCTTTTTTTCAAAGTCGGTTATCCAAATATTTAAAATTTTACACAGGTCTTCGTGATATGATCACGAGGAATTGGACAAAAGGATTGTTTAATTTTAAATTACAACTATTTGAGAAGAAAAAAAAAAATTTTTTTAGTTAATTTTAGCAAATGTTTGTTTTATATCTGCTAAAAATCCGATTTTAACTATTTTTATTATCGTAGCCAATCCAAAATCTAGCTTTCTTACTTCGGATTATCCTGTCATCAGTTCTATTGTCACAGGGTACTACGTCACAATGGCGAAAATATAAATATTTTCCTTTGAAAATTTCAGAAACTCATTTCCAAATATATATTTCGAAAACAGTAAATACTAGAATAAAATACGCATTTCAAAATATAAATAAATTTTTGAAATTATCTCTGCAAATTAGAGATTCAAAATGCTTAAAAGAACTAGTATTTTACTAGAATGAAGCTGATGTAAAATAGAAAAACTGATATTTCGTAGGGCATTCCACTTCACTTATGTCTTATAATTGTACGTTTTGATATATCCCTAGTTATGGAGGTACCCACAATTTATGCCAAGCAAACCCCGAAAGGCTGATGGATTGTTATAAGGAATTGGTTATTTTCATGTCAGGATTACACTCTGCGGAATCGACATTTCATGTAGAGGGGCGAACGCAAAAAGAAGAATGAAATTTTTGAATTAATTGCCTACAAATTTGGATATTTGTCGGGCCGTGGTTTGAGCACAGTAGCGCAGATAACAAATAACTCGGTTAATGCGGCCGCAAGGAGTTCTTATTCTTCTTCTTCTTTATTTTCTTAGGCATCGTATACGCGATTATAGCCGAATGAACAATTTCGCGGCATTCCTT